CTCATTACTTCATGAAAACTACTTATAGGTTACAACCTTTGATGGCCCCTTTGAATAATAAAGAACATCGCGAATTACAATGAAAGCAACTGCTTGCCTCTCTGTTTGGTGGGAGTGTGTGTGTATGTGTGTAATGTGTGTTCATGCGTCAGTTATAATCATGTTATAGTAAGATCCATTGACGAAGAAACTTAAGTGAACGATAACAATTTTTGCTGTTAAAGCATGGTTACTCAGTAGTTTACTTCAAATTCGTTGAAATAATCAGATAGATACTTTCTGCTCTTTAATCGCTCAATATAGCGTTAAGGGATGTAGAACTCTCAGCCTTACAGCGAAAACCTTAGGATTATTATATTGCAGATCGAGGTCGCTGTTACAAGGTAATATTTCCATATATGATGCTACAATTTTTCGCCAAAGGAACATTTTGCAGTGGTTACAAAGAAGTAGTAGCATTACAAATGAGCAGTTTTTCAGGACTCATTTTTTTCCAATATATGTTCAAACATTTCCAGTGTTCTATTTCAGACTTCCAGATAATGCCACATTTGAAGATGCCTCACTTCTTGAGACGTTGTCCGTAGTGTTCCACGCCTGCAGGCGAGGGAACGTACAAATGGGCCAGCGCATACTGGTTTTAGGGGAAGGTATGGTAAGATGGCGTGGCAACGTTTTCTTTGAAAGATTGTCGCGCACTTGCGGACGCGACTATTGTGAGGACTGCCGTCTGAGAAAATAGAAGAGTAATTAGAGCTCTATCGCAAAAGCTCAGGCCATCCGTCCGTCTTAACCTTCGTTTGAGGCGCGTCGACTGTCCAAGAAAACGGGGAAGAAAATAGGATGAATTTGCTAAATTTTCCTTACAAACTAACTTCCAGGAACAATAGGAATTTTGTGCATGATGACGGTAAAAGCAATGGGTGCCGCACAGGTTGCCAACACAGATTTGGATTCAGCTCAACTAGTTGCGAAGAAACTTGGTGCAGATCACACTACTTGCGTCAAGTAAGGAAGTAGACTCTCAAATCTAAGTGTAATGTGGTATGGACTTGGTTTTTCCAGAAATTTGCTGGTGAACAAAGTTCGCGAAACAGTAATAGATTGCCTGACAGAGCCTGATGTAACAATAGAATGCACTAGGGAGCAGTCATGCGTAGAAGCTGCAATTTTTTGTATCGACCATGATAAGACTTATCGTAAAAACATTGTACCAACATTTCAGACCACTGTCTCGGGAGAGGTTGTCGTTTTGGTTGGACTTGGTAAACAAAAAGTTAGAGTATCTCTTACAGAGGCCTGCATTAGAGAGGTGGACATTAGAGGTGTTTTCAGATATGCAAACTGGTATGTAGTGACCATTACCAGTAGAAATTACTGCATTAATTTTCGATTTTGTTACTCAAACGCACTGAATCTTATCGCATCGGAAAAACTTTATTTGTCTACACTTACACAAGCTCACTATGAGTAGAAGATGCTGCGAACGCACTCGAATGTGCGCGAAAAGGAGATGTCAACAAAGTTTTCATAAAATGTTAAGAATAAATCTCGGCGTTTTTGTTGTTTTCTCACAGATGACTACAGCGAGCCGTAACGAAGATATGGAAAGGACAATATAAAAGGCTTTCCACCAAAAAATTGAGGCAAT